CCCTCGCTCCCAAAAAAAGGGAAGAAAAATAATACAAATAAAACAACAACCGAAAAAGAAAAGAAAAAAATAAGCCACCAATGCAACACCGGAAACGAAAACATAAACTTTAAGTTGGAGATGTATCAACTAATAACATTTCTTAAAAGTGTGTAAAAAAAATGTCAGCCTGTTCGCGCCCTGAATGGGTCCTTGAGCGCTTTGAGCTGAGGTCATTACGAGGAGGCACAGTACATTCAAGGAGTGCACATCCTGTTTTGAGCCAAACTATGAGAAGTGGAGGAAGACTTGAGTCAGACTCAATGATGGTTTTGTTTTGTTTTGTTCCATTAAAAAAAAATTTTTTGTTCTTTGTTTGTTTTTTGTTTGTGTTTTTTTTTTCCTCTTGACTGAGCCAGACAAGTTGTCAACAGCAATTCGCACTGTCGCTCTCATGTCGAGCTTACTTACGCCATCACGATTTTGCAGCACACCGCACGAGGTGAAAGGGAGGGGGTGGGGGTGGGGGTGGAAGAAGGACGTATTTAAGTGTCGTGAGAACTTTCAGTATTGCTTTTCGTCTTTTTCCACCGTTAGAAAGACACACAGCCTGCGGCCATTGAAGTTGATTTTCGTGAGTAGCGAATACATTTCATTGACTTGGACAGATGTAAAAGTATACTAAAGCTCAATATTTTGATTAAGAAAAAAAAAGCAATTGCTTAATCTATGGTATCTGTTGTATAATATGCTCAAGAAATGTTTTATCGAAATTAAAATAGTGAATGTTAAAAAAAAACTCCAAGAAAAGCTACAAATTGTAGGTACACTAGTTGTATAACTATAGGATGAACGTATTTTTCCCCTCTCCCCTGAAAAATGTTGCGCACAGGGCTTATGACATTTTAACAGTTTGCCAAGGATTTGCATGAAAAGAAAATTTATTTTGAAAAGGCTAAACAATATTCTCCAAATTTTTGCATGATTATCCTGCCTATTTCCTGCAACGTTTATCAAATTTGGTTTCGACTACGCAATGCAGAAGTTCGCGGTGTTATGTGCAATGGATATTATACCTCACACAACGAAGTTTGTCCATATTATTATAAAAACTACAATATAATTATTTTCACTTGAAGGCAAGTGAGGATGAAAGTAACATAGAGCAAGAAAAGGACTGAGCAGCTCACTTCTGGTCCGGCAACATAAGAGATTGAGTCCACATCTTGATTTCTTTTTCTCTAGAAGGTGGTAAAAGATGGGCTCTTTTGTTATTATATTATAATCAGCGTCAGAAGCTGCACCAACGTTAATGAAATACTTACTTTATTTTTGCTTGTTCATTCTCTGTTGCCGTTAAGCGTCGAGGGGAGGTGCAATTGTCTATGGTAGGCTAGTTCCGCAGCTCTTTCACTTTCAGTTAGGATGTTATGATTAATTTCTCAGAGTTACCTTGACACCTTCAATCCACCGTTTGTGTGGCCTTCCTCTTCCTTTATAGCCTGAGTGCTTGGTGTTATAGGCTCTCGAGGCTGGCTGGCTAGGTGACATACGTAACAGGTGGCCAAACCATTTTATTATCTGTCTTTCTATGAAATGCAAGAAGGACTCAGTGCTAATACCCGCTCTTACTTCTCCGTGTCTCTGTATGTCTCGTCTTATGGTGTTAAGGGTTTTGCGTAGACATTTCATTTCGCATGCACTGATTTTTCTTTCTTGGGTTTTACTTAATGTCCAGGTCTGGCACTGGTAGCATAATGTTGGTATTAATATTGAAGTGATTAGCTGTCTCTCTGTGTCCATGGAGATGTTTGGATGAGATAGGAGGGGTGCGAGCTGGAAGGTGACAGCGTTGGCTTTTTGGGTTCGCATTTCTATTTCTCTGTCTCTGGACCTGTGAAATAATAACATGAACAGCAGCTACTGCGGCGGAATATCTAAAAGGTCTTGGCATCTACTCAGGGTCCTGCACAAGGGCGTCCTCTAGTAGTATGTGGATTTTCTATGTCTATCATACGGTGTATTATTCATGCTATTGTATATCAATGTAGTTGTATAATTCTGAACGCCATTGTAAAACAAAATTTAGTTTATGTATAATTGTATTAATCTGTGTATAACAAGATCTAATTTATGCATAAATGCATTAATTTATGTGTATGTATTACTCCATTTCAAAGCAAGATTTAATTAATTTATGTTTAAATTATGTATTAATTTGTGTCTTTCTGTAGGCCATGCATTGTAAAACGAAAATCCCAAGGGAATCAATAAAGTGGGTATATTCTGTATTTATTTATTTTGTCACAAATTATTGTTCATTTCCCCAGAACATGGCGGGGAATGCCAGGAACCTTTTTATCTTTGCCATTCTTCTAAAACTGGCAATGACGTCAGCACAGTCCTCCTTGTACGTGGACCTGCGCCTGACGCCAGAAGTGGTGGTACCGTATACCACGCCCAACGTGACGCTCAAGTGCACGACCAGTTCGCGGACTCCGAATTACTACGGGCGGGCTCAACAATCCACCAAACAGCTGGTCCGAATGCGCATTCTGAGGGGGAGGGGCTCAGGGAGCTATCATGTGGGTTAACATTTCACTACATTAGAATTACAAAGCTCTATTTGGCATTTTCGGCCGTTTTGAGATACCAAATCCATGAGGTCAGAAACCAAATTTTATTCTTTCTGCTCTATCAAAATTGTAAGATTATTCGGAATTGTTATCAAGATATTCGAAAAATTGCATTAGAAAAAGCTTGACATATGAAACTCAAAATTTTTGGAGTAAAATTTCTCAAAACTAGGTAGATGTACTGTGCAGATAGAACCTTGTAATTCCAAGGAAGAGATGTGTGTGTGTGTGTGTGTGTGTATGTGTGTGTGTGTGTGTGTGTGTGTGTGT